GGGAAAAAGGGAGGGGGAAAGGGAAAAAAAAGGAAAACAAACAAACAAGACAAATAAAGGCTACGTGGAAGTGCAGAGGAAATAAATTACTCTCTACTTCCCACAAGTGAGCAATGCTTGACCACGTCCTTGAAGCAGGACCTCAACGCACGTAGCCGGTGTTCGGGAGGAGGAACAAAGTTTTCCCAACAAGAGCCCACCCCTCCTCTCTGCTTCCTGTTTCCACATTTTTTTGCTGAACCCAGTACAAGTAGCAGAAGGCAAAAGCATTGCATTGAGCCTCAGAATAATCAAGGAGACCTAATCCACTTCATCCATGAGAAAAAGCAGAGTGAAGGACGTTGAGTTGTGTCCTAACATGAAGAAGGATTACATCACTGGTGAAGGAACGCTCTTTTGTGCCACCATCAAAGAAAATTACACAAAAACTCTATCAAATAAATGTAACCTTTTCCACAGTGGTGCTGTCACACCACAGGACAGAGGAGGGATATTTTTCAGTTTCAGCCTCTTTTTCAGAGAGGCTTTGCCCTCTTCCTGTTCACCATGGCGCAGATCCTGACCCTGGATGCTCCATGAGCACCTTGCAAGTCCTGGCAGGCTGTGGGGAGGGGACGAATGCCCTGGGCCCCCTTCCTGCTCTGTCCAGACCAGCAAAGGACTTGGTGGCTCCCTATACCTCCTTGATGCCACCACTCCTGTCATGATTCAAACCCAGGAAGCTGCTTCTTGAGTGGTCAGGGTGTCCAGGGGCACTGGGCATCCACCAGTGGTGACTCAGTGAAGCCCTGACACCCTCACCCAGGACTCTGTGCCCCCATGCCCCTCTGTCCAGGTGGAACCCCAGTACAACACTAAGACCTTGAGCCTGATATTCCCTGAGCGTCTTCTGCATTCCAGTTTGGGAAGAAGAGCCCTGAGTACTGTGCAAGTTCCTTTTACTAACAGGATGCCAAAACAGAGACCAGGTGTCATTCAGGAATAAACACATTCCAAGAAAGCCTCTGGGTCACACAGAGGACTGGTCATCTGGAAAAGAGGAATGAAAGCAGACATCTAACTGGAAATATTTTAGTTATTAAATTTTATTAAACATTTGTTCTATTACATTTTAAAGAATGCTATACCTAATCATCACAAATTGCCTGAGATTAACTTGAGTAAAACCAGAAAAGTGAGATAGCCAATTTATTGCTACGTAAGTATTACCACTACAATCAGTTTCTTCAGTGTGGCTTTCAGGTCCTGGTTCCTCAAGCTGTAGATGAGGGGGTTCACTTTGGAGGCACCACTGAGTACAGAAATGAAACCACCGTGTCCAAGGATGTGGAGGAAATGGAGGAGGGCTTCAGGTAGGCAAACAGGACAGTGCTGACAAACAGGGAGACCATGGCCAGGTGAGGGAGGCACGTGGAAAAGGCTTTGTGCTGGCCTTACTATAGAGACGAGAGGACTGTCACCTAGATCCACACAGTCTAATCCAAATCGACTGCTCCTACACGTGATAGCTGGGCTCTTGTCCTGGAGCCTCTCCTGGATGCTGGGACTGCTCCCGTAGCTCCAGAGGGGATGGGAAGAGAAGGAAACTGAGACCAATGAATTTCCGCTGACGTCTTTATTGTCTTTAACTACCAAGGAATCCTGGTTCTGTATGTACATTAGATGATATAGTAAAAACTAACACAAAACATAACATTCAGAATGTTAAGAATTAGATTATTAAAAACAAAATAAAATATTGTTCAAATATTAACAGAGAAAAATAATTTTTAAAACGTTGTCTCATTTTCCCAAATACCCTTTGTTTTCTGTTAGGATTGTTATTAATGGCAATGTTATGATAACACTAGTAACGATAAAAATGATATGATATAATATGAATCAAAATATTTGCATATTATTAAGAATACATCCTCTGAACACATCATGGATGCTTAAGAAGCATGTATGGAAACAGTTTCCTCACTGCATCCTTGAGCTCCTGGTTCCTCATGAGAACAGAGATGGGTGTTTGCAGACTTCAAGGAAATTGGTCAAACTGTGGGACAGCAAAGGAAAGCCTGCAGACAACAAGGCAGAGGGTGCTGTTAAGAAGGGTAGGCCCAAGCTACCCTGGGGTTTTTGTCCCCTTGGCTAGAGCTTATGAAGAGATATGATATATTCATTGCGATGAGGGCTCATGGATTCCTTTCAACCCTGTGCAGCAACTTGGATGTGTCATACCACTGTTCTTCTCATGGCATCACACTGCCCACCACATCCCACAAAACCCAGGAAGAGCCCTGAGCCAGATGTGGGGGTGCAGAATCTCCCCTCCCAGTGGCTGGGGTCAGGCCTTGGCTCTTCTGCTTCAACAAAACCAAAAAACACTTTTCTCAGCACAGCGCTTTGCCCGTCTGTAATCATGGCTTCCAATTTTCCAGTTCCTGCCTTCATACGTCCCTGGAGAGGTTATGTTAGTAATAGCCCTCACTGGAACCCATTAATACTCCAAGTCACTTCAACTTCTGACTTGACTTGCTCAAGCGGTTACATCACTCTCCTCTCAGTACCTGAGCTTCATAGATTCAACACCAAAATACAACATGGACCTCATTAAAATGAAGAAACTCCTAACATCTCTACCACAGTTTTCTTAAAGACTTCAAGATTTGTTCAGCTAATTGCAGAGCTTGCATGAAGTAGTTAAGGAAGAAGATTTCAAAAAGTACCTAATCAAAAACGTCTTGTTTCAAAGTCTGAATTTTGCTGCATTTCAGTTTTGAGCATCATTCTCCTATTGCTCTTCATCCTGGCTGACTTCTTTGGAGACCTCCATCAGGAAGAAAAGCAGAGTCTGGAGGTCTGACACCTCCACTGCCAGCAGTGGTCTTTGTCACTGTAACTGCAGCCCAGCTCAGCCCATGAAACCCTTTCTAAGACAAGTTAGGTGTTCTTTGGGAACAAAATAAATATTAAAATAAAATAAAATAAAATAAAATAAAATATTAAAATAAAATTAAAATAAAATAATAAAATTGAAATAACCGTTGGAATCTGAGAAATTCAGCTTAAATCTTAGTAGACACCTGGACATCTATGGTCTCTCATGGGTCTTCTGTGGAAAACTCAGGAAGAAAAGTAAAAAAATATATCTTCAAGTGGCTGTAGCTGTACCCATGAGCTTGGCCTCTTTTGGGAAATCATCTCCTTCGAGCCACAGAAACCTAAACTGAGTAATGTGAAAAGACCTGCCCAGTCAATAGAGTAGGACAAAGTCATGCTTCCTGTGCTATAGATGCAGAAGGCAAAAAGAATTGCATTGTGTTTTATACCTACTAGGAGGAAAATTAACTCTGTCCTAACCAGAACAAGGGTGCACTCTATTCCATCATCCAGGTCATTGACAAATAAGTTGAACAGGACTGGACTCAGTGTAGATCCCTGGGGGACAATGCTGGCTACAGGCCTCCAACTAGTCTCTGTTCCACTAAGCACGACCCTCTGATCTCTGCCATCCAGCCAGCTCACAACCCACCTCATCGACCACTCTTCCATCTCATACTTCCTGTAATTCCTATGAGCTTGCCTATGAGGATGTTATGAGAGACAGTGCTGAAAGCCTGGCTGAAGTCAAAGTAGACAACATCTGCTGCTCTCCCCTCACCCACTCAGCTAGTCATTCCATCATAGAAGCCTATCAAGTTGGTGAAGCATGGTTTCCCTTGGTGAACCCATGCTGACTACTCCTGATCACCTTCTTCTCTTCCACAGGCTGGAGATGACCTCCAGGATGAGCTGTTCCATTGCCTTTCCAGGGACGGAGGCGAGGCTGACCGGCCTGTAGTTGCCTGGGTCCTCCTTCTTGCCCTCGTTGAAGACTGACATGACATGAGCTTTCTTCCAGTCTTCAGGCAGCTCTTCTGTTCTCCATGACCTTTCAAAAATGATGGAGAGTGGGCCAGCAGCAACATCCACCAGATCCCTTAGCACTCATGAATGTATCCCATCGGGGTGCATGGATTTGTGGCTGTCAAGTTTTCCTAAGACATCTCTGGCCTGATCCTCTTCAACCAATGGACAGTCCTCGTTTCTCCAGATTTCCTCCCTTGTTCCTAATGCCAGAGATTCTGGAGGGCTGCTCTTAGCAGTGAAGACTGAATCAAAGAAGACATTCAGTAATTCTGCCTTCTCCGTATCCTTTGTCATGAGGACACCCACCTCATTAAGCAGTGGGCCCACATTTTCCTTCCTCTTCCTTCTGCTCTTGATATATTTGAAAAGGACCTTTTCTCGGACAATGTCCCTATATTCTTCCCAAGTGGCTTGTCCCCTTTTCCACTTTATGTGTATTTCCTTCTTCCATTTAAGTCACTCATAGATCTCCTTGATCATCCAAGCAGGTCTCCTGCTCCCTTTGTCTGACATTTTGCTCACAGGAATACAAAGCTCTTGAGCTTGGAGGACTTGCAGGTCAGTGCACTATTGCTGCCGGTGCACCGTTGTGGCAGCCATCAGTGCCTGCTCTTCAACTCTCAACAACCCCACAACAGAAGGGTCCTGTGTGAGACCAGGCAAGGTAGACAACTATTTGGCATTCTCTGTATTCACGGCAGTTATGCCAACAGCCCTCTGGTACCCTTTTGTTTACTTGTTTGTCCCTGGAATAAGCCAGAAACACAGTCTGGAGGCATGTCGTTAGGGTTACCCAAAGATGTTTGCATTTCTCAAGAGTTATCATGACCGGCCTGAAAGAAAGAAGGGGAAGGTGCCATGCCTTGTTCCCTCCACCAAGTGGATTCATGAGCGTCATACCAATAGCACCTCAAATAATATTTATTGGTGCAGATTTAGGGAAAGCATCACAAGCCCATATTTGCTTTCCTAGTGGTAACTTAATAGTTTCTTGCAATAAGTAGTTGCTTTACAGGTAGGGATTTGTAGCAATTTGTAATACAGACATTCCCAAAAACAGAGCAATGAGGTGTCCGTGTCGTTTTGTACTACGGAATCCTACCAACCTACTGCTGTGATCCATGGGCGAGCTGACCCACATAGGTTCTGATCGTTGATACTTTGATGCCCTTGGAGAGGTCCTCAAAGCTGCAGGAGCAACCACAGACCTGGGGCTTGGAGACATCCCTTTGCTGCAGAGAACAGATTCAACCACAGGACCATTCAGATACCGGAGTGACAAGAAACTGGCTTTTTTTCTGCCCAGGTCTGCTGCCCCCTCGCACACAGCCAGGCCTGTGGCTCATCTCCATGTACAGGATGAGGAGTCAAAGCTCTGATGGTGCCTGAGTAAGGGAGAAATACTCCACCTGTGGAAGCGCAGGGCTGGTGGGGAGGTGGCACAGGACAGGCACTGGCCTCTTTCTCCTACTCCCCACACAGGGAGCCTTGAGATCACAGGTCAATGTCTGTACTGCCCACAGATGCCTGCAGTCTTGTATCCTCAAGAACCATCTTCTGTATTCTGTATGTAACATTTTTACTTTTTTTTTTTTTTTTTTTTTTTTTTTCCTCGCAGTGTGGGGTCAGCATTGGTTGACCTGGTACCTGGCAGTGAAAGGCTGTGTCTCACACTGTTGTGGTTTAACCCAGCTGGCAGCTAAACACCACACAGCCATTCAGTCACCCTCCCCGCTCCCTCTCTGGGGTGGGGGAGAGAAACAGGAAAATGAAGCCTGTGGGATGAGATAAAGACAGTTATTAGGACAGAAAAAAATGGTAATAGTACTACTACTAATAATGTGTATGAAACAAGTGATGCGTAATGCAATTGCTCACCACCCGCTGACCAATGTCCAGCATAACCCCAAACGGCCGCCCCCCCGACCCTGGCTAAACACCCTTATCTATTGTTTAGCATGATGTCAGATGGTATGGAATACCCCTTTGGGCAGTTTGGGTCAGCTGTCCTGGGTCTGTCCCCTCCCAGCTCCTGCTGCACCCCCAGCCTCCCACTGGCAGGACAGAGCAAGAAGCTGAAAAGTCCTTGGCTTTGTGTAAGCACTCCTCTGCAACAATTAAAACATCGGTGTGTTATCAACATTATTCTAATCTTAAATCCCAAACACAACACCCTACCAGTTGCTAGGAGGAAAATTATCTCTATCCTAGCTGAAACCAGGACAAGTGAGCAGCTCCTTGGGTGTATTCCTGACACCAGCTTTGCAAGAAGCAGAGATGTGGCAGAGATGCCACTGCAGAGACAACTTTCACCAAGGTACATGAGACCTAAGGGCTTAGTGAAGTACAAGAGCTCAAGAGAACAACTTAGAAGCCAAAAGAGAGCAGCAGTGAAAAGGCCACATCCTGCTGCTGGCCATGGCTCCAGGGAAGCAGCAGCCCCAACCTGAAGGCGGCAGAAAGGCAGAGCCCAGCGGGCAGTGAGGGGCAGTCTCAAGGTCCACTGGGGCTGCTCCTCTGTGTGGGAGCAGCTCCAGAGGAGATGGGAAGAGATAGCATCTGAGACCAATGAAGTTCTCGTGGATTCTTTATTCTCCTTATCCAAACAGGAAGCCAAGTTCTGCAGGTATATAGGATGATTTGGTGAAAGCAAATAAATTAAAAAAAATATAATAGACAGAATGCCATGAACAGAATTCAACCAAAATCAGAATTTTAAGAGATAATATTAATAATAATAAAAGAATTGCAAGCTATTGTACAAAGAGATTGTTCAGATAACCTGTGTGTCCATTTAATATTATAGGCACACTATTGATGCAAAAGAAGCATGTATCCAATGAGTTTCCGCAAGGCGTGCTTGAGCTCCTGGTTCCTCATGCTGTAGATGAGGGGGTTCACTGCTGGAGGCACCACCGAGTACAGAAATGACACCACCATGTCCAGGGATGGGGAAGAGATGGAGGGGGGCTTCAGGTAGGCAACCAAGGCAGTGCTGAGAGTTAGAGAGACCACAGCTAGGTGAGGGAGGCACGTGGAAAAGGCTTTGCGCCGGTCCTGCTCAGAGGGCATCCTCAGCACAGCCCTGAAGATCTGCACATAAGAAAATGAAATGAAAACAAAACACGCAAATGCTAAACAGAAACTAACTACAAGAAGCGCAGCCTCCCTGAGGTAGGCATCTGAGCAGGAGAGCTTGAGGATGTGGGGGATTTCACAGAAGAACTGGTCCAAAACATTGCCTCGGCAGAGGGGCAGGGAAAATGTATTGGCCGTGTGCAGGACACTGTACAGAAAGCCACTGCCCCAGGCAGCTGCTGCCATCTGGGCACAAGCTCTGCTGCCCAGGAGGCTCCCGTAGTGCAGGGGCTTGCAGATGGCAATGTAGCGGTCGTAGGCCATGATTGTGAGGATAGAATACTCTGCTCCAACCAAGAAAACAAAAAATAAGACCTGTGCAGCACACCCTTGATAGGAGATGGCCCTGGTGTCCCAGAGGGCATTGGCCATGGCTTTGGGCAGAGTGGTGGAGATGCAGGCCTGATCGAGGAGAGCAAGATTAAGGAGGAAGAAGTACATGGGGGTGTGCAGATGGTGGTCGCAGGCTACGGCGGTGAGGATGAGGCCGTTGCCCAGGAGGGCAGCCAGGTAGATGCCCAGGAAGAGCGCGAGGTGCAGGAGCTGCAGCTCGCGTGTGTTTGTGAATGTCAGCAGGAGGAACTCACTCACAGAGCTGCTGTTGGACATTTGCTGGTTCTGGACACGGATACTGCCAAATGAGAAAAAAAAAATAAATAGAGAGTGTTACGAGTAATGTCTCTGAGCAAAATTGAGAAAATTCCCAATTAAAGCCTTACATTCCCTGTTTCCAAGAAGACCTTTGCCTATATCCCTGTCTGGATCCCTGCTGTGTGCTTGCTGAGTGCCCTGTACACTGCAGCATCCTCTGCCCAGCAGCTCCCAGTGAGCCTGCTCTGCTCCATTCGAGGTTCCAAGAGGGAAGGTTCCTGGGCAGTGGCTCCCTGTGCTGAGTGAGGGGTGTTTGGCTCTGTGCCTCTATGTGCATCTTCCCTGTTCAATACCCAGGAGACAAAACCAGCAGATGGATCGTGCACGTCTGGCCGGAGAGAACAGGGATCATCTCCTGCTTCACCCTTCGTGCACAGCACTCCCCGTCAGAATCAGGCACGACCAGCTGCCACGCTGGGCAAGGGAGAGAAGCAGGCATGGGCAGGCAGGGCAGACCCAACCCAGTGCAGAGGCTGCGGTGTCGGTGAGGTAGAGCCTGTCCTCACAGCCCTGTGCCATCTGCCCTGCACAGACAGCAGAGGGACAAGAGCTCTGGAGTGGAAGAAGCATTTGGAATATGTTCTTTGTCATATGGTAGGAATTTGGGGGTAAGACCTCTGTGGAGCCAGGAGCTGGACTCGATGATCCTTGTGGGTCCCTTCCAACTCGGGATATTCTATGATTCTGTGATTCTGTGACTTCTTCCATGGAGGAAGGTGGAGGGGGCTGCAGCAAATGTGTCTACTGACACAGAGATTTAGGGTTCAGACACCCCATATTCTCAGCCCCCCAGGTTATACAAGCCGTGACAGAAGCTCTGAGGGGAAGAGAGGAGACCAGGGGCTGCTGGAAGGAAGGTGCCTGCACTGCAGGGGATGGCAGGGAGGGAGCAGCTCCCTCTCACTGCCTGCCCATGTCCCTGCTGCCTGCAGTTGTCCCTGCCAGCAGCTCTTTCTCTGTCCCCACGGCTCCTCCCGTCAATACTCACAGACCCCATTCCACCCGCTGTGTGCCAAGCTCAGCCCTGCAGACAGCTGCCGGGGATGAGGACAGCTCTGGGGAGATCTCCCTGTCTGCAGGTCCTTAATGAAAATCTCAGCAAAGCCCTGGTGCAGTGTGTAAGCAGAGAGACCTGAAGGGATACTCTCGGGTTCATCACTAACCTGTTTATGTCTTATTCAAATGCAACAGGAAGCTCCATCACCTGGGCAAACCCAGCCACTCTGTTAATGAACAGTCTGCCCTGCAATCATAGCAGGATGAGGCAGGCAGAGAGTGCAAAGTGCCTTCTCTTTGCAGGCAGACCCTGACCTGCTCATCTTCTGTCCAAGGCTGCCCTGCAGCATCTTCTCCTCCACACCGCACAAGCCACGAGAGGCATCTTGGCAGCTCCTGGCCAGGCAGAGACATTCCGCATACAGAAGCCCCTTCCAGGAGCCTGTCCTGCACTGTCGTGCAGCCAGAGACTTACCGTGGGCAGAGCTGTGAAGGTTTCTCCTGCACTGAGCTCTCCTTTGCCCACAGCGTCCAGGCTGCCTGGAATCCCTTTCTACTTGGGTGCCTGCGGTCAGAGCCCCCAGCCCTGCTGCGCTGTGCAGAGGAGCTGCTCCTGGGCACAGCTAGCTCTCTGCACCAGGGCCCTCTTGCCACGAGCTCTCTCTGTCCCACGAGCACGGCCCAGCTCAGCAGCACAGCACCAGCCCAAGGCACTGCAATCACCCCTCTGGGGGCTTGGCTGATGAGCCCACAAACCTCAGGCACTCAGAGACAATTGAAGACATCTCTCCAGAAGTCCAAGTCAGAGGCAATTTTCCTGCAGTGTCCCCCTGAGGGCCAGCACTGACACAGATCTCGTTAGAGCAGAACCCTGGAGGCAGTGAGGACAAGGAGACAAAGGCAATGTGAAGGTGACACTGATATGTAGGAAAACTGCATGTGTGTCACCAAGCACAAGGGCCAGGCCTTGACCCTGAACCTGTGGGAAGGGAGATCCTTAGCATTCACACCTTGCTCAGGGCTCTTTGTGGGGCAGTAGGAGATGGGGATGTGCATGGGCAAGTACAGGAGAATGGTACGACCCCTGCCTGGTTCATGGTTGGGGGTGAGGAGGCAATGAGGCCCTGGTTCTTCAATGATAAGCTGTCTCCTCATGGGCGTCAGTGGCAGAGATAACAGTCATAGATATGAGCACAAAGACCCGGTCCTGTTGGGACTTTCAGCCTTGCCACAGCCCTCTATCCTGTCTATACATGGCTTTCCTAGGGATTCCCAGACCTCCACATCTTTCCTTTTTGGCTGCATACCATTATCTCTGTGGTGTCACAGCAGATCTGAGCTGAGTCTGATAACTCAGATCTTCTTGGTGGCCATGCTCCTCAGAAGGCAGCTCTGTAGGAAGCTGGCCTGGTTCCTCGTGAGTAGGCACCTCTGCTCGTATGGCATCCCTCGTGGTGCCCAGGCCCTCTCCTTCTGGCCACTACTCACTCGGCAGGGTCCCAGTCTGACCTGTTGTGTGGGGTTTCTCTCCCTCTGGTACAGGACTGGGCTCTTCTCCATGTGAAAGTCAAGAGCTTTCTGACGTCAAAATCCTGCAGTTTCTCAAGGTTCACCCACAGTGATTCTCCATTCTATCAGCTGTTAATGTCTGAAGGAGACAGTTCAACCTTTGTGTAATTGTTTTATCTCTGACTAGACAGCAGTAGCAGCAAGAATTGCAGGGAAATTTGGATAATTCAGGAGTAACCAGCTAAATGGCATTGCAGCACAGTCACTCAAGGGCAGGGGATGGAAGGCTGCCAGGTTCCACATTTGCTGCGCTTTCTTCTCATGCATGCTGTCAGTTTCTCTGTAGTCTTTTCCTGAATGTTATGTGGCTGTTCAGGTCAAAACTGGACAGGCCAAAGCCCAGCTGGAGCTCAATCCATTTATTATTGTCAAAGACAATAAAATAAAAATAAAAATAAAAATAAAAATACTTTAAATGATGGAAGATTAGGGAGAATCATCATGCTTTATTGGATTTTGGGGGGAAAACCTGGTGACAAGGAATGAGGCAAAGGCTGAGACACTTAATGTCGTCTTTGCTTCTGTTACTAGCAACAAAACCAATTGCTCCCATGGATATTTCTTCCTCCTCATGGCCAGTACCAACCTTCCAATGCACATTTTGTAGTACTTTTTTCTCTCCTGCTCTTTCCTACTACCAAAAAAGGAGAACATTCTGTTGTGGGAATCTATTACAGACCAGCCTGCCAGGACGATAGCGCCGATAAATTATTCTTTACAGAACTAAGAGAGGCCTTGAGATTAACTCCCCTTGTCCTTATGGGGGACTTCAACCTGCCAGACGTTAAGTGGGAGTGCCACACGGCTGACACGAGCAAGTCCAGGAGGTTCATGAAGCACCTAGATGATAACTTCTTGGTGCAGGTGCTAACGGAGCCAACTAGGAAAGGTGCCCTCCTAGACCTGTTGCTAGAAAACAGAGAGGGTCTGGTGGGAGATGTGGTGATTGGTGGCCGCCTTGGTCATAGCGACCATGAAGTGGTTGAGTTCAAAATTTACGGTGACAGAAGGAAAAGTGCCACCAAAACCTCATCCCTAGATATGGGGAAAGCGGACTTCAGGCTGCTCGGGGAACTAGTCAGCAATGTCCCCTGGGAAACTGCTCTTAAAGGCCTCGATGTCCACCAGTGCTGGTCATTCTTTAAGCGATGCCTCCTAGAAGCACAAGATCAGGCAATTCCTAAATATCGCAAGTCAGGCAGGCAGGGCAGGAGGCCGGCGTGGCTGACCAGGAACATTCTGATGGAGATTAGGCGGAAACAGAGAGTGTTTCGCTACTGGAAGGAGGGCCAGGTGTCATGGAAAGAATACAGGGATGCTGTTCGTGTTTGCAGGGAGAAAATTCGTGTGGCTAAAGCACACCTAGAGTTGAAGCTGCCTGTGTCTGTGAGAGAAAAGAAAAGTTTTTTTTCAGATATGTGAATGGAAAAAGGAGAAGTAAAGAATACATAGGGCCGCTCCTTGATAGGGAAGGTCTCCTCACAGACAATGACATAGGCAAAGCAGAGACGCTTAACGCCTTCTTTGCCTCTGTCTTCAATGCCGATGATGGGCTTCGGGACCCAGGGTGCCCTGAGCTGGAGGACCGGGACGGTGGGGATGACAAACTCCCAACCGACCCTGAACGTGTGCGGGATTTGCTACTCCACCTGGATCCCTACAAGTCCATGGGTCCGGATGGGATTCATCCCCGGGTGCTGAAAGAGCTGGCGGACGTCATGCCAGAACCTCTCTCAATTATTTTTCAAAGATCCTGGGAATCTGGAGAGGTCCCGGTAGACTGGAAGCTGGCAAATATTGTGCCGTTTTTCAAGAAGGGTCAGAAAGAAGACCCTAGCAATTACAGGCCTGTCAGTCTCACGTCAGTGCCTGGTAAAATCATGGAGAAGATGGTTCTCGAACTTATTGAGGCGCATCTGGGGGACAAAGCAGTCATTGGTCCCAGCCAGCATGGGTTTGTGAAGGGTAGGTCCTGCCTAACTAACCTGATTTCCTTTTAGGATAAGATCACC